AGGACAAAAGCATTATTTTTTCAGATGGCAGCTCTGAGTTATCTTTTATTTGTTTCTTATTATGCATTGGCACTAACAATAACTTTATCAGCTATGCACTTACATCTTTTCCCGGCTCTCCTTTGTCTCCTTTCACACCCTGCTTCCCACGTAAACCCTTTGAAAAAATAATGAACGTATTATCAGATATAAAATGAAACAAAACATATCATATTACTGAATATTTGATACAGTGGCTTTAAAAATAGGCTCATGTGCAAGAAGACTTCACTTACACTATACAAGCAATTCTTTCCTTAAAATTGATGTTAAGAAAAACTACTGGGACGACAAAAAACAGCTTTTAGACTTACTTTTGCTCCTGGCTCTCCAGGCTCTCCCTACAAAGTACAAACCGTAAAAGTGACTCTGTTGGATTATGTTTGTGTTGTAAAAAGAACTTTAAGCACTTAGTGAGACTTGGTAATTAATACTGTAAAATGGCTTGACATTATATCATATATAACATGAAGGTAAGGCATACACATTATATATTATAAGGACAGAGATTTTGCTTTCACAGCTTGTACAGTGTGTTGCTTTTCTGTTTACCTTGACAGATATCCCTGGAGATCCTGGGGGACCGGGCTGGCCGGGCAGGCCTGGAGCACCATTGACCCCTGGTACACCAGAAGGACCCGGGGGGCCCTGTAATGTAAATTCGAGAAAATTTGAGTTGCCCTGTCGCTGTAGAAAAACTCCCAAAGGGATTTTTCTAAAGACTCACTGAAGATCCTGGTTCTCCTTTTCGTCCAGGAACAAAATTTGAATCCGTGCCAGCTAAAACATATCCAGGCTCTCCCTGTGTGAAAACAGAATCTCAACCTGAATACACAGAGTCCATCTACCTGAGCATTATACTCATTTTACTGCATGAGAAAAAAACAGTCTATAAAAAAAAAATCATCAACAAAAATCAGGTCAGGGTCTACAGCTACATCAAATGTTGAGGTTAGTCTTACTCTCTCTCCTCTTTGTCCCTTTGGACCAGTGAGACCAGGAGGACCCTGCCATTGAAAGAGACATGAAAAGTGATTATACATTATTATTTATACATTTATCTGTATAAACAACAGGACATGAAATAGGACATGTCTGGCAATAAATAACAAAACAGTTGCCCAGTTCAGATTAATAATACTAAGAAGACATAGTCAACCTTTTTGGGTCTAGGTTCTAGTTGTGGTAGTCACCTCATTATTATTATTATTATTTTACATTTCAATAGTCCACAGAGGTCAGGCAAAGGAAAGCCATCTTTAACCACATTCATAGAAATGACATTGAGTTCATATGATCAGAGTTTTAGCCAACTCAGAAAACATAATGATCCATAGGATGGTTTATATCTTACCATGTCACCTAGGATGCCTGGAGGGCCCTGGAGAAAAAAACCCAGCATTTTCAGAATGACATTCTAAATGACATCAGTTTTGACCAGGTCAGTGTGAAGTTTCTTTTTTCTGAATTTATTTACCCGCTGGCCGGTAGAACCTGGGGGTCCAGTTCTACCTGGTCGTCCTGGCAACCCAGGTACACCATCTGTTCCTGGAAGTCCCTGTCAAATCAAAATATAATGATCTCAACTAGAAAATATTATAAAGAAATACAAATCCAAACTCAGCCGCACAGTCACAGCAACGTTATGAGACTGGCTACAAATGAAAAGTAATTTGATATAATTGATGAATATATAGTAAGTAGATGTTTTTAATAAAATGATTCTGGTGTTTACTGTGTATTTTTGTTTTGAGTTGTGTAAAGACATAATATGAAGTAAGTAATTTTACAAAATGTAAAGCACTGTAAACATACATATATGTATGTTTAAACAACATATGCAGCTGGAAATACAGTAGCTAGATAAGCTATTCTTGACAGCAAACTATCAATATTATTGGCAACGTGATAATGGTGGTAAGTTGTTTGTTTGTATGCTGATTCTTACCCTCTCTCCTTTCTCTCCTTTGGAAGCAGTGAAAGGATCGTACTGTCCCGGGCTTTGCATAAATTTCTACATTAACAAAAAAGACCACATTATTGTTAAAAGTTTAATTAATGATAAATTTGAATTGAAATGCAATAAGGACACATCAATGCAGAACAGTGAGGACAGTGAAGAATGTATGGAAAAGTAGGAGGGACAAAGTACTAGCTTATCAGTTAAAAGGTGCAATGTTGTATAAAATAAAACCGGATCAAACGTACCAGCCCTCCAAAGCCAAACCCATGCCCCTAAAAGAATGAGAGGCAAATTACTCAAAAAGAACTTTTCACTACATTTAATCTTCAGCATGATCTAGCTAACTCACCTTTTCCCCTTTCTGACCCTGGAAAAACAAATAATGATGTTAATAAATGACAATTCAAACCAAAGGTTATGAGAGAAGTTTAGATAAATGTTTGCAGCCATCAGAGAAATTTAAGCCAGGATACAAATAAAAAAATAAACATTTTCACTATATTGATTTGTTTTGAACTTATGTTAGTATAATTTCTACAATAACTGATAATTTGCTAATGGCAGTGACAAAGACAACAATGACAACATCTGTATCATGGGAGGAGGAGGAGGAGGATTTTGTTTCAGACCTTCACACACTGGGAAGGGCAGGGACCCTGGGGCTTAAGCAGCTCCTCTGGGTCATCAGTCGGGGTGTCCAGCTGAGCAGACTGAAAATCAAAATAGTCATCTGACATTATATAAATGACAGTAGTTTCAGTATTTGGATTCAAAAAGTGATCACATTTATATTTATAATAAATGGCCAATATTCACACCTAAACATCTCCAGAGGCAGTTTAGGTGTCCTCTGCTATGTCTGTTTCAGTAGGTGAACTTTACATGTTCAACAGCAATGACTGTAAAAGCATTTGCACACATTATAAAGGTAAAGTGTTGTTTGAACCATCCTCTTAACAAGTGTGATTAAACTATAATGAAATAGGAAAGAAACTAATAAGACAGCCAGTAGTTCTGCTTTGTTTTTGTCTCACCTCATCATGTGGTTTGAACTCAGAAAGGAGCTCCTCACTACAGATGCTAATGATAAATTCTCTCTCTATAGAAGGAAAGTCATCAAAGGTCGGTGCATAGAAGACATTCTTGTAGCTTGTAGGAGCTGCTATTTTATTCAGCTCTTCAAAGTCTGCATTAGAAACTCCAATTGCCAAGACACTGACACCTATGGAGAGACCGATTCAAAACATGACAATCCAGGCTGGATGTTCAGGTACTATTTTCTTTGATCAGATTTAACTCAAACTGGTGATTAGCAGCACCCCTACGCATGCATTAGGGTAACTTTCATCAAAACTGACCCAAAGCACGTGCAATTCTGGAGGGTGGCACCACATTGTCCTGGGCTCGACCATCTGTAATCAGAACCAGAATATGGGCCACATCTTGTCTCATCCCCATGGACTCCTGGAACAGTTCCTGCAGAACATAACTGATGCCTTTTCCTGGGGACATACAAAGAAGAGCTAAGAAAATTAGGGAATTAATTGATTTGGTTATCTGTTCTGATAAAAGATTATTGTTTCAGTGCATTTTCAAGTAAAACTACCAAACATTCTCTAGATTTAGCTCCTCTAGCATGAGGATTTGCTTATTTTCTCTGTTTTGTGTCATTGTAAACTGAATATTATAATGGGTTTTTTTGTTGTACAAAACCAAACTTTAAAGACATCACTCTGGCCTGGGAAATTACAATGCCAATTTTTTTCTGACATAAAAACAAATTCATTAATCAGTTAGTCAAGAAAGGAAATTAATTGATTATCAAGACATTAATTAGCAGATTAAACATTAATGTTGTTAGTTGCAGCCCTACTACCAAACCTTTGGATAAATTGTATTCTCTTATATGCACTAAACTGATTTGCTTGAACAGCAATATAAAGCCCTGCAGTGATGTTTGTTTCCATGTATTGGGCTGTGCACAATACAGGAGCATGTAAGCAATGCACATCTTTTATTAAAAAAAAAAAAAAACAATAGAAGTTTCTCCTTTTAACTGTTGATATTCCAGAATGTATCTGATCTTTACTGAAAAGAACTGATTTAGTTTAACTTCATACTTCTGTTTGCACAAAATTGTATTATAGGAATTTTCAGTCATCTGAAACAGTGTGTGAATGCTACTAACCTGTTCTGGTGTTGCCTCCCCTATAACGTAATGCTCTAATTGCTCTCAGCACCGAGTTTCTGTCTCTGAAGTCACTTAGTCGGAATTCAATTCGAGGCTCATCACTGTAATGAACCACAGCTATCTGAATGGAGATTAATGGAGAAAATACACATCATCATCACAAGTACACCAGGTATTTAAAGTTGAATGTCATAAAAACTTTAAGCTATAATTAAAACTTTTATTCATATTCATCCTCTTGTTCAGCTGCCACTCTTTAATTAGCCACATGGCATTGTGCATTGTTAGTCATGAATCTGATCCTGCCCATTTAGTGAAAGAAATGTACATTATGTTCCTGCTACAGGAACTGGTCTGCACAGTAGACTCATTGGAACAGTTTGCTACGTCACAGGCATCTGTTATCTTTTAAAATCGGTGTAATCCATTACAGTTTGTAATTGCCCTGCCACTCTAAACAAAACTAAGGTCCAAAGGGACCAAAGTATTCACATTAAGCCATATATTCACCACAATATCAAGCTAGTGCAAAGAAGGTTTTCACTGAGAGACTAACCTGTGTACCCTGAGGACCAATGACAGGGAAGTAAGTGGCCACTCGGAATATGAAATCTTTCATCTTGACAAAATTATCAACACCAATGCTGGAGGACTCATCCACTAATAATACAATGTCTGCTTTGGTCTTAGCACACACTGACAAAACACAAAGACACATGAAAGAAGAAATACCAGTCTTAAACACAAGTATTCATCATTTAATGTAGATAGTCAAGTGATCCTCTCCTTGGTTATTATAAAAAAATACCTACTGCACAAACCATAATTCAGCAGGCCATTGGTTTTAATACCTGGCTGTGGTGGAGCTGTTGTTTCTGTACTGAATGTGGTTAATTGAAGTGTGGTGACCGCTGCTTCTGGAGGCTTCTTGGTGGTTATAGTTTTAGTTGGTGGTGCAGCCATGGGGTGCCTGGTGGTCCTAGTGGTTGTCTGAGTGACGGTGGTGTTGGTGATCGAGGCAGTCTGTGAGGCAGTTGTGATGCGAGGAGAATGAGGGGCCTCTGTGGCCAGCACAGCCCTTACTGTTACCGCTGGAGGATCCTCTCCCACTGAGATACACAGAGCCATAAGTCAACTGATTAAAAAACTTGAATGAAATTCTGAAGGTCTCTTGGGGGAACAGAGTCATTGATGCAGAAACAAATAGGACACAGCATAGAAAAAAAAACTTTCTAAGGAGTGAATCCACTCTGAATTACACAGGGTAAAAAACTATGTGGGTTTAAAACTTTGTCACACTTTACAGCTTTTTTACATAATAAAATATTAATAAGGTACGCAAAGCTTGAATAACTCCAAAATGAAAATCATATTAATTCAATACAAATGTAAAATAATGACCAAGCTATGGCAATAATGTAACCGTAACAAACACACTGGCATTTGATGCTAACATCCAAATGGAAGAAAGCCACATCTGAAACAAATTTGATTCCTTTGGCTGCTTTCAATGATTTCCATTTCTAAAAGTCAAATGTTAACTCCTCCATGGCCGGCTGTTTGAAATGGTGATGACTTGCGGCTCAAAAATGCTTCTTATAATCTTTGCTAGGTGGCAGGTGGGACTAATATATAAACCACACTTTGTGTCATGGAGGGGCTAGTAAAGCAGAGAGACACCATGTCCTGTCCCATTTTCACGTGACTTATCAAAGTGTAAAATATTAGTTAATGCATCTTCAAGTTTAAACCCAAAGAAAGTGTTCAGTGTGCAGTGGCAGTGATTCAGTGTGGCTTTAGTCTGCACTAAGAATAGAGCAACAATGAGAGAACACAATTGCCATCTTTATTGTGTGGATATGACTGGAATATTTCAGATATATTTAGGTTTTTGTATACACTATCCTGTACAATCAGTGTGTATATTGAAATGCATAGATGTTTTAGAGCTCCAAGAATTGAAGTAATGCCTTACATATTCTCTGATACACAGTGCTTATAGGTCCCTCCACTTTTCCATATAAAGGTCTAATGGTGAAAATATATGTTCTGCCATACAGGAGATCACTGATCTTATAGGAGGTGAAACCAGGGCCAAGGATCTCACTTTTAGTCTCCAGTACTGAAAAAGACACACAAAGAACAGGTTGTTGTTGCAGAGTTATTTCTGCTGTTTGAGATTGCAGGTATATTTTACAGGAAAACATGTGTCCCTATAAAAATACACTTTAATCTACGGTAATAAATAAAAGGATTTTCAAATCAACTGAGGAAACAATGTGCCATTACACAGTGATGTGTCATGCAAACAATCAAATAAAAGACATAAGTTATGATTTGCTGGGATTAGATTTAGTAAGACATGATATGTCTGGACACTTATTGAGAAGTGTGATGTGCTTACACATATTCTGTGTGCTGTATTTCAAAGCAGAAAGAACAACAGTCACAACATAAATTGATTTTATTTACCTCATCCAGCACTGTAACTCGGCCATTTTTTACTAAAATTACAATTTCTCAGTGAGGGAAGTTTGTAAAAAAAACTCTGCATGTGACAAGACATGATTATTAGTTTTGTCAGTGTCGTTATTATTTCAATTTTTAACAAAAGTGTGCTTATGTTTAACCGTTGCAATAACATGTGCCACGCCACTTCCACCCTGTAACAAATGCAGCCATACCGTACTGATTTTTCAAACCAATGCTATTAAAAAAAGGTTGACAGGCTTCAATTAACAACGTAATCAAATAATAATAATAATCTTTATTTCTATAGCGCTCTACAACTACAGGCGCACCAGAATGTGCATGCTATGGGAATTAAAGTCCTTGGTTAACTATGTAACTGAAAATTATAAGAATTTTAATACAATACTGATTTTTGGGTTCATCACTGACCTGAGATGTGCCTCCATGAGAGGAGGTACCCAGAGATGCCTTCCACTCGGGTCCAGTTCAGAACTGTGCCACTGTCTGTAGTGTTCAAAGCAGCAAAACCATTCACTTTTGGAAGATCCACTGAAACACAAAAGCACATGAATGATGAAATATACAAACGCTGGAGGGGGGGGAGGGAGCAACATCAACAAGTCAAGGGCCATATTTAGTAGACATACTCTGTCACACAGTTATTCTAAGGCACAAATAATGTTTCTTGACAAATATGGCCAGTACTGATTCTGATATCTCAACTGTCAAAACAAATTTACTCTAATGCCAGTGCTCTCTCTCTCTCTCTCTCTCTCTCTCTTTCTCAAATTTATTGTCTGCATCTGTGTTAAACAATAAGACAATAGGCCAGGGATTGCTGATGCTAAAAACTGAGTCTGCAGCTTCCTGTCACCCAGCAAATAAATAAAGGAAACACTGAGTTTGAAAGACACTGACTGACTGATACTCTGCCCACTTAATAGGGTTAGTATCACCGCTGATGACAATCATTATCTACTTTGTAAACAGGGGAAAGATAATTAAACTAAAGTGGAAAGTTTCCTTTTGCTTGCCTCCCCTGAGTTACAGAATGTCTGGTTCTGTCTGCTCCAGGTTACTTTAGCAGCGTGAAAACAGAGTAATACCAGAGTCTAAAAATATATTTTACATGTACATAGCTTAAAGAATGGAGCATGTCTCAGACTGTTCCTCACTGTTTGCGGCAGGCAGGACTCACAGGTGCGTGCAGTGACCAGGACTGGGCTTCCCTCCCTGTTGCCAACTATTGTGGACACCTGGATCTTATAAGCTGTGCTCTCTTGCAGGTTGTGCATAGTGAAAATGGAGGTGGCAGCAGATACCACATGGGACTTCTCATCACCCCCTAGAGCAGGAAATAATAAAACTCAGCATGTAGAGCTAATGAGAAAGTGTTTAATTGTTTGATGTTTTTAGTCAGTCACATTAAATATTATGTTGTTGGTTAGACATGTTGAAGTGAAACTGAATTAAGTCATTGTATTTAACAACATTTAAGCTGAGTTTAAGTTTATCGTGTTTTGACAGTTTTTAGCTTTAAACTCAACCAAACAGCACAGTGTGTGGGCAGACTCCAGTGAACTGTTCTTTAGGTGTACAAACAAATAAAAAAAATGCAAGTGTCAACATCTGTACATGTAAATATTATGGCGTAAGCTTGCATACGGTAGTTGAGTGTATATAGTATAAGATAGGTTACCCAGGAAGGGGATCCAGGAGATTTTGTACCCAGATGCCATTGGTGATTTCCTCCAGGACAAGGTGAAGGAGTTGACACCAATGTCCACAACCTTCACTTCCTTCACTGCTTGGATTGGCTCTAAGTCTGAGATGGCAGCTGAAAAACAACACCATGTATACCTTTCCTTCTGATTTAATGATATACCATATGATATTGTCAGTCATGATGCAAAATGAACAGGTGTGGATTCACTCATACAACCTCATATTTGTCAGTGTAATAAACTCTGCACTTGGAGCTTGGTGTAACACTAACTTTGGCAGCGACAGTGATAAAATGATAGCCCTGCTGACTTACACTCACTGAAGCATATTACAAGTGACAAGGACAGGAACTGTGGTTAAAATGGGAATACCAAAGTACATGACTTGTCATTCAAACAAAGACACAGAGAGGGTGCATGGCCAGAAGATAAAAAAACTACACTATCCCCACCCATTTAATTACAGTGGGAGCACAGCTGCACAGTGCTATTTAAATCATGCATAATGTTGAAGTAAATACACTGTGAGACCTCACTTCTGTATTGTACCTGTGACCTGAGATAAGGAAATTTCTGGTCCTTCTGTGTTGCCATAAACAGCACAGATGGTGATCGTGTAGGTGGACTGGGGAGTCAGATCTTCAATACGATGGAAGAGAATGTGACGGTCCAGGTAACGGGACTGGGAGCTGCTGTCATCTGCAAGCATGCAGGTGCACACACATACATGCACACAATATGCATACTGTAAATATAAAGGTTAAAACAGGGCTTATATTATAAAACATACAAACAGGCCTTGAACAAGGCGGAAGCAGAAGAAAACAAGGTTAAATACATTACCTGTGTCCCAAGAGAGTTTGTACTCAGTGGCTCCTACAATTGGACTCCACTCTACATCTATAGAAGTACTGGTGTAGGATGTCACTTTGAAGTTGGACACATAGCCCAGAGGAGCTGAAAACAGGAGGAAGGAACATCAGCAGCCTGTAACTGTGCTTGTAAATACATTGTTAGACATCATTCACTCTGTGCAGCAGGAAGATTAATGGCATATGAAAAGAATTTGATTGGCATGACTAAACACACACACATACACACACACACACACACACACAAATTGGCATTACAAATGCTGGATGAATTACATGACTACACTGAAAAAAGAAGAGGAAAATGCAGCATATTCTGGTACAAATGCACAGTCTACTAATTGTGGACATCCATTCTAATCACTCCTGAACCACAGTGGCACTTCCGGTGGGTAGGATATATACTGAATATTGGTACTCACAAGTTCTGAAGGTACCTGTCATACCAGGGCCCACCGCGGATCCAAACAGCACATAGAGAGAAAGGGCATACTCTGTATCATGGACTACGTTCTTCAGCTGGTACTCTGTGGTGCTGCTGTTCAGAGCCAACTGCCTGGGACGGTCCCGACCAATGAACTCTGAAAACAATATTAACATTAACAATAAAGAGACCGTTTTTTTTTTGTCTGTCAACCGATTATTCATCAGGGACCTGGCTCCTTCTCTGGAAACAACACCTTCTCTGCATTTCATCAAAATGAGCCCCCAGCCCACGTGTCATATCCATTGTAAAAGCAGTGGCATTTCAAAAGCTCTCAGCAGAATGAGTCTGTCACGGGATGAACAAGAGCTGAGCAACATCAGAAGATGAGCCACACATATAAAAGCAAAGGTCCTTTACGCTACACTCACTATACAAAGGCATCACAGGCCTGTACGCTGTATCTTAAGAATATAAAGGAATGTGCATAAATCACCAGAAGTATGACTAAAAGGACTATATTCACATTACTGTGTGATACGAAAAGGTAAGTCTGAAATCACCTGAGGTGGGTCCCCAGGCCAGTCTGTATCCTGTGGCTCCTGGGACACTGTTCCATGAGATGACAGCAGAATTGGTGCTCACAGCAGACACCTTCAAAGTCTGTACTGCACTGCTTTCCACTGATGGACAAAGTGAGGGGTATGTTTTTAATATTGTAACCACTCACTGTTCATCTCTTGATTTTTGAACTGTCTTGCAAGCATTCTATTTACATGTCTTGACTTCGGCGGTGGTGATGGGTCCCTCGATGTCCCCAAAGATGGGGTTGATTGTGATGGTGTACCCAGAGCCCGGGTCGAGGCCCTGGATCATGTAGAAGTTAATCTTGCTCCTAAGGTTTATGTTCTCAATGTGGCCATCTAAAAGACACAGTTAGGTACCCAATAACCAAATGCCCTAAAATATGCAGAGTGATGGTGGTGCTATAATGTAAGGTGAATGTCAGTCATTTTAGTTCTGTTTCACAGAAAGGGCAGTGAAAGAGTAAACCAGTGAGAATGTTCCCACAGCACCTGGAGATGCCCATGTTAGACGGTATCCTGTAGCACCGTTAACTGAAGTCCATCTCGCCTGGACTGTGTCCGTGGTGGGGTTTTGGACCAAGAACTGGTGGACTGGGACCAGCTTTACTGTTAAACACATCCCAACCACACAAACACACAGTTTTTTTTTATTTAGTGATCCACAAAATCACAATAATGACAAAACATAAGGTTATTTAACATGATGTTTTCTAGAGAAAAGGGTTATTTAAAGTAATGTAATGAAATATAAATCAACATTTGATTCAATCTAAAACAAAACAGCCTCTAGACAACTGTCTAGCGTTCCATGAAATAGTGATAAATGAGACTGTATAATACACGTAATGTTTACTGGTATTTTTTCTCTAGAACAACATCACCCTACTGTGGAAACATCATAGTACTACACCTTGGTGTTTGTTCTTTCTTCTGTTTTTTCAGACACTATTACATGAATGTATTCTACTGATTGGCTGAGTGTGATCTTTGACTTATGTTTATGTAAATTAACATGATGATGCTTTGACCAAAGCCAAAGAACTTACATGTCTTGCCCACTATGGAAACCGGTTTGCTTGGTCCCTGGGGGTATACAGCATAAATACTGATAGAGTACTTCTTATCCTCCTCCAGGCCGTCAATCACATGAGAAGAGGTGTCTCCAGGAAGCAGCTGCTCATAAGCAAATCCTGGTCGGTTGGCTGCAAAACAATCATCAGTCCAGGAGAATCAATACACAAGAAATATACTTTTTAAACAACCTGCTCCTTTGATGCAAGCTACCTTGAATAGATGACTCTGAAATGGCTTTCATTCAATAAAATCCTACTATATTGGCAAGTTTGAGGCCTAATATCCAACATGGATGAATTCAAAATGATAGGCTCCAAGGTTTATGTCTAATGTTTATCATTGGGATGATACAATAAATAGTGCAAGAACATTTTTATACTGGTCTGCAATAAATTGTGGCTTTGGCTCTAGTGTCAAAGAATAACAGAGTAACTGTACTGGTGTATGTCAGCGTACATCGTGGGATGAAGATCTTGAATCCATTAAGCTTCCCTAAAGGTGGTGTCCAGCCCAAACGCAGAGAGAACAGACCCTTCTCAATAATACGGAAGTTTGACACCTGGGGCAAAGGAGCTAAAAGGCAGAAACTTGATGTTCAGGAAAGAGAGGTAGAGTAAAATCCAAACCAAGTGCACAACATATACATTTGTGTAATTTTTGGACAAGCACATGAGCTGAAGAGTGGCACCCACTTGTCTGGACGGTGACTGTTGCAGAGTCTCCTATGTGGCTGGGGTAGATGGCATAGACAGTGAGGGAATAGTCTGCTTTAGGATTCAGCTCTGTCACCACTGTTGTGCTCACGTCTGCTTTCAGATCAATCTATTACATACACAGAAGACAGCAGAACAAAAGGGTCTTAGTGTGTGTGCTTGTGTAAGAAAGAAGGATCAAGAGATAATGAAGTGAAGCTGAACACAGGTAGTAACAAGGAAAAGTCACAAAGTAGCCTTCTCAAAGCTTTAGCTAACAGAATGTGCAGCCTGTTCTTCACTGTATAGTGATCCTCTAAAAAATTACACTGATCTTTAGAAAAGCACAGAAGGAGATCTAGTAATTGAGTTTTATTGCAATATGCACAGACAAGGTAGGTTTTGGAAAGGTTTCTCAAAGTGTCAAATTTCACTCAGTGTCAATCTCATCACAGTTCAAAATGAACAACCTGGGTTTATTTTCTGGGATCTGATTCATTTTTTAGTTGATATGAAAATCTTTGAGCTTTGAGATGATTCATTGGCAGGAAAAATGATCATAGTGTGTTACATCCAATCACTAATACACTCACAAGTCATTTTATTAGGTACACCTATATAATTGTATGCACTTCAATGCAACACTTCTGCTTTAACATTTGTGTTTATGAAGCTCAAATGAAATTGTCATAAATGTAAAAATTCAATTATATGGTTATTATTGAGGTCATAGTTAAAAGTGGTGTTGTACTGGACTTATATTCAGAGGTGTCTTTATATTTTGGAATATATTGAAACATATTGAGCTTCATAAACACAGATGTAAAGGTGGAAGTGTTGCATTGAATTGCATACAATTGTACAGGTGTACCTAATAAAGTGGACGGCGAGTGTATGATCATACAAGCTCGGTTACGGTTCAGCTCAGTAGCCACACAGTTACCATCACGTACTGTATTCCCTTACCTGTCTCTGCTGTGCTGAGTGGAGGTGTCCCATGGAGCTTAGAGGGGTGACCAGGAGGCGATATCCGGTGACATCACCTGTGGCCTGGGTCCATGTCAGTCTAAGAGAGCTGTGGGCCAACTCACTGACCTGGAGATCTCTGGGGCCTACTATGCGCTGTTCAACTGAAAGACAAAGAAGATAGAGAAGGTGGGATGAGATTGAGAAAACGATATGAAAAAAGGGAGGGAAATGCAGATGGGGAGAAAAAATTGGAAGTTGGACTTGATGTAAAATTTATTGGAAAGATAAATCCATCTTAGTGAGAAAGCTCCAGGCTATAAAATAATAGAAAACTATTAATCATTTTTATAATACTTTTCATGCTTTAGAATGAAAAACAATTCATCAGTATAAAAATGCAGTCAGCTGTCAGTATGAGGGCAGCTTTAATGCTGAGGAAATCTCAGACTGTTTTAAAGAAATTTGCTTTCACACTATGTGTGTCTTAACTCACCAGTCGGAGAAGTTTTCACAGGACGTGGTGGTTCAGAGGCAGTGAAACAAACCCTGCGGGACAGTTTGGGAAGGATGGCTTCCAGGAGAGAGTAGTCAGCATCCAGCAATAAATGTTCCTCATATGGCTCTGACACAACCCTCTTCAGCTCTGAGTCATCAGCTCCCCTGACACCTGGTCAAAAGATAGACAGGAAGGCAATGGGGGAAAGTGTGGGACGAAGTAGCATGTACTGTACACATACCGTATAACAGGAAGTTTGATTTCCGTTGAATTTGTCATGATCAGCTCTCACACACACACACACAGAACATGCCATCATTTCTTTACCTTTCCTCCACATTATTTCCTAGAGACAGCACTAGGTGGAGCTGTGGATTTTTATGTGTTTTTAAATCATGAAAACAAGTACATCCCCATATGCATACTTTCTATAGACATTCACAAACTTAATCACATGCTTTCTGGCAGCTGCCTGTGCGACCCATTTGGGCTTGAAAAGTTGCACTGTCTTAATGTAATGAAGATGGAATTTGAACAGAAGCAGATGACTGTGAAATGTCTTTGGGAAGAGTTAACTCACAGTTACAGTTATGGGCACCTGCACAAGATAAATGTGCATGTTTTATTACTAGATGTTTGTATATATAAATAACATGCATTAAGATGTCTGTGCATGTGTTATCCAAGCTACACAGGCTCTACAAGCATTATGGATTTGTACTAATACACAAACTGCAGGTGAGGCTTCTGTGGAAGTGATGAATGAGAAGAGCGGGCCTCTGTGGCAAAGGTGTAGACAGGGGGACACCGAATCACCTAATGAAAAATGGCTGCGATTAGCACACCGATGGCTAATGAGCAGTAATTACTGCACTGCTCCCATGCATGTAGGAGAAAAAGCAGGGAGAAAAGTGCAGACTAAAGTAGCTCTGCTGATGCAATACAGCTTCGGAAAGTGCACCTTTAATAAAGGAACTGAATGCTATTAGTAAATGTTGTTATGCTTACACATACATAGCCATACACCTGTATGAGTGCGCTAAGACACAAAGAAACAAGGTTCTCACACACACTCACCAATGCTCACACTGAATCCAATGAATTCAAATGCACAGGACATGAAATTCTAACTGCAAACACTGCAGATAAGCCAGCAGAGCTTGAATAAAATCTGAGGGGCCCCTGCAGTGGGGATGTTGAAGGAATTCACAATACAGTACCGACTTCCACACTCACCTACTGCAAAAAGAGAAATCCCATTGTCAGACACAGCTCTGGCTGCAGCATCAACATGGTCATCTGAACGTCCATTTGTGATCAAAACAGTGATCTATGCACAAAAGAGACAGAAAATTACATGATACAAGACATCTCACTGACACACTATCATTAATTAAGGGATTTAATATGTGTGATTTTAATGTCAGTGGGCTTCAGTTGTTATAAATAATGTTTCTTTAAGCACATTTACAAAATAACAAGTGGCAGATTTTGACAACTGCAAATCTACAGGCACATTAAAATGCAGCCATTCATAAATTTGATATGCATTCATTCAAATTATGAAATAACAAAATGATGATTCTATCTTTGACATATATTCTTTCTTTATTGTTGACCACTGGAGGTTTTAATCCACGCTCCAAATGATGTTTTGTTAGTGAAAAATGAGCATCCTTGCAAACAATACTGTGTTCATAAAAGCCCCAGTGGACACTTGACAAGGTTAAGCTCAGAACTGAATACAAAATTAAATAAATCAAACCCAAAGATAAAGTGGAATTCAAGTATGCCGGCTTGCAACTGAGACTGATAATTTCCCCATTAAAGAAAATGTACTCAGTTCATTCAGAACTCACCCCTCAGTCAATGAAGACTTAGAAGCTTAGAGGCTTAGAAGGCATCAAAATGAGAATGTAGCTCTTTGTATGTGCTCTGGCTGTACAATTCAATATATCAACCTAATCCTCAATTCTCTGCCTTCCCACATCAAGTGTTACTGCTGCAAGATGATTCTCATGCACGCTAGAGATAGAGAGATGATTAGAATGCTAACCAGCTTTGTTACTCCACCACAGCATTGAACTCTGAAATTTTAGCTGGCAAACGCAGAGCTGCTGGAAGCAAAGTGTATTTGGATAGTGGATAGGCACTTATGAGACAAGTTTAGTTAATTTGCTGACCATTGCATTTGGCTTACAACAAGTACAGATTTAAAACATAATTTCTGCGGACCCTGTGAAAAAGCAGGTCAGTCTCTGTCATTGACTGTCTGTTGCTGATCATCAGTTGGACCTTTTGCACTGTCTGGCACAAGTCTTCCCTTATTGACAACCATTCAGCTGACTGAGCATGTCAAATTTGCAATGGAAAATATATTACCTTCGCCATTACTTTTTCTTTTCCCCCAAGAAAACAAAAAAGCAACACAAAGCAAAATCTGTTACTTTCTATCAGTCATACTCTCAATTTGTATTCTGACCATATAACAAGAAAAACATTTTATCAATTGCTGATCAGCTCTAAAATGGTATAACAATTTGTTTGTTTGTTTCCACAAAGTTTCATGGAATGCAAATACAGACTCCTGACTAGTCATTTCGTTTTGCACTGGGCCGGAATATACAGTATATGCATGTTTGTGGCGAGCAGGAAGAAGTCATCTTGGCTGTGTGGGTTGTAATCTCAAATCAGTCTTTTCCCTTTGCTTGTGTATGCACACTTTGTCATACAATTAACAAGATGAAAGCTCTGCAGTTGTTGATGTGCATGTAAGAAGTTAGTGGTAGTGTAGATACTCAGTAGACGCAAAAACATCACGGTATCACAGATAAATGCCGGATCTCACTGGGTGAAATACAGTACTGTACCTTTGGGGCATGGTCTCGACTCAGGACAGGACTGAACACAGAGTCAACCAAATACTGGAGAGCATCACCAGTCCTCCTGGATCCACCCTCATAGTGGAGGTCTCTGATGGCTCTGAGCACCTCCTCCTGTGAGCTGTAGTCTGTCAAAGCAATACGCATTCTACAAGGAAAGGATTACCAAAAAAGAGGCTCACTTTTAATTTGTTTTCCAAGATCCAAGTTATGGATGCAAGAAACAGTATATGTTTTCAATCTGAAAATATATATTCTATCATATGGGCAGCACGGTGGTGCAGTGGTTAGCACTGTTGCCTCACAGCAAGAAGGTTCCGGGTTCGGGCCCCACCCGAGACCTTTCTGTGTGGAGTTTGCATGTTCACTCCAGCTTCCTCCCACAGTCCAAAGACATGCAGCTTAGGTTGATTGGTGTCTCTAAATTGCCCATGTGTGTGTGTGTGTGTGGTTGTTTGCCTATGTGTTAGCCCAGCGATGGATTGGCGACCTGTCCAGGGTGTACCCCGCCTTCGCCAGATTGCCAGCCGAGATTTGCCGTGACCCCGTTCAGGGATTAAGCGGTAGAAAATGAATGAATATTCTATCATATCTGGGTCTAACTCTAAGAACAATGTGAGCATAAGGACAGTAGAACAAGAAATGCTTACTCCATTTATTTCCCATGCTTTTCTGATTTTGTTGATGTAAAATACATTTTTTGTGTTAAAATAAAACAAAATGAAACATTACTATAAAACATATACTCTCTATTATAGAAAGGAAGTGCACATACTGGAAACCTTTGAAAATTTGCAGTGAAAAGTGAACCTTTTTATGAATAACCTTATTCTGATACAGCAGCCATTTGATGCTGATGATGAAGTTAAATCAGACAGACTTGATCATGCTTAGTCACAAAAATGTGTGACGTGTCTTAAACTGGGCCCATTCCTGTGCTGGAGTTTTACCTTGGAACGTCTCCAAAGACAGTGATGCCAAAGCGAACACCCTCAGCTCCCATCACACTGTCCTGGAAGGAGGAGACGAGGGCTGAGATGAAGTCTTTGACCCTGCTGAAGTTGGTCTGGCCCACACTCCATGATTCATCCACCAGAAATACTATGTCTGCCTGTACCACCGTTCTGCATACTGAGAGGAGAAGAGGAAATGAATCAGCATGAATAGACAGGTAGGATGAACAAGAGAACATATTTGAATTTATAAATACTGCTTGCATTCATTTTTGAATGAAACTAAACAAAACCTAAAGCGAACATTGAAGGTTAAAAGGTAAAGGTAATTAAGTCACAAGATTTAAGGAAATGTTTTATCCACACACTGACCACAAGATAGCAGTCTTGTGCCATCATGAGGGTTTTCCTTTCATTTGCATCTGTCCTGCAGCCAGAACACCACACAAATCCCATACATCGTTAATGAAACACAAGTGAGCCAAAGAGACTATCAATATTCTGAGTACTCCAGCAATAAAACCTTAGTACAGCGATGAGGAATGCTTAGAATAATAAGATAAACACACCCAAAATCAGGGTCAGTCCCCTTGCTCAAGCAAATAAACTCATTTAACATATAGATCTTCTGCATTTGGAAGGATTCTAATGCTTTTTGATGTGACACAGACACACACAAAGGTACACTGGCTCATTGGCTGTATGCATACACGCACATGCCTGCACGCATTCCCACATACTGTAGCTATACAGTAGTGTACTAGCACAGCATACACCCCCCACAGAAACCTGCTGAGTCTGTAAACGCCTGCCAAGTCAATATTCTGGCATTACATATGCAATAAACCACAGTGACGACAACATTGATTGCGTTAGTGAATAAGAGATAGGCACCACTGATTGTTCTGTAAGTGATAACTCAGCTTCTCCGCTGGCCTCTATTTCATTACCAAGCTTTCACTCCTCTATTATCTCACCCTTTTTCCTTTGGCTGCAATCCCAGAATTCACTGGGGGTGACATATGTCTCCAGCCCATGGTGACCTAACATTATGCTCTCCTTCACACACCTATATATCTCTGGGTAAGCACCAAGGAAACAAAATATCATTGGGAGTACAATTTTGGAGCCACTATCTGTGCCCCCCAAGGAATATAGGGTCATACATTCAGCAAAAGTGGCTTCGCCGCTGATACAACAAAGAGATTTAAACCACTGAAACAAATTCACAGGACACAACAGTGCTCGTCCTTTCCATCCTTATTTGAGTCTCATATAGGCAGCTACTGTAACATAGCCCTAGCATGCACATGTAGAAGTTTATTGAGATACTGTACATTTCTACTACAGCCTTCAGTAAAAGCACATTAAACCACATGGTTGGGACTCTGAGTCTGGTAGCAGCTGGAGGTTGGTCTGTGTCAGACAGACGCAGTCTGAGATGGAAAACAAGCTCAATTATCCAGAAGCCTGTCTGTCTGGGCTAGCTAGTGAGAACCACATACCCGGGATAAGGACACAACACATGCTGAGGGATTAGGAATGGCTTTCTTGAAGGTTATCTATGCGGATGTCTCAAAGGTTGTACACACCTCTGCGTAAGACCACCATTGATTTATGCATTAGACGTAGCTCAGTGGCTTCAGCATATGCTGCAGAAATTTCTGCCAGGAAAGAAACAGTCTTAGAAATAATGGCAGACTCCTGCTACCATCCTCGACAAGACCAAGAGGAAAGATGTAAACTATCAGAGAGCACAAGTGGGGTTCAGATTTTATCCAGGCAAATGAATGTAAGTTTTTCCAAGAAGAAGAAACTGCAGTGAACTGTAGAACAGGATAGAAATATTTAATGATAGCAAGACCAAATATTGACAGTTTTTGACAGCTTATGTGACAATTGTACATTCTCCTAGGATCTACAGTATTTCCAGCACCAAAGACTCACCCCTTTTTGGCCAGGTCACTCTTGAAAAAGAGATTGTAGCCTCAGTGAGGCTTTTGCCTGGCTAAACATGTACATCCAGCATACACAGAGGAATATGTTTTATTGTACAATACTCTCTATTTTGGTCTCCACAAACTCCTGAAAAAACATTGGACTCTTTAGTTGCTGGATGCTAGACTTTCCTCACCGGGTAGTTGCTGTTTTATCTTTGTACTTGTGATACTTGTGTACTGTGGCTTTCTTAGCCTTTCTTACTTGTTAAAACAACTTTAAACATCTGCTGGAAGGAGGGTCACAATAGAGGCTGCATATATTGTACATTTGCAGGCCTTTAAGCTAAAATGCTGACCTATAAGAGGCTAAAAGGTTCCATGGTTATGTAAACCTGGGTGATAACTCTCTGAGGGTCCCTGGCTGTACACAACCTAAACTTCAGTTGTCATTTGATTCATTATTAATGCAGAAATATTGATAATGAGAGCTTTAGGCTGTCAGGTTGGCTAGCTGATTTAAAAATCGACCACATGCCCCTTCTTGTGTGTAATAGGAAACATTTAATGCCCTATGGGTTGTTACAGGCAGCCATCTGGTGGCAGATGAATTAACACTGCCAAGAATAAACAATGACAACAGCTGCAAAGGAGCAGTAGCTTCAAATATACTCCTGGGCTATTTTTGTCCTTCCATAGCTCTGCCCAACAACTTTACCAATCACTTTCTGCCAACCACATTCCAGGTGGAGCAAACCTAACTTTTGATTGGCTGATTGACCTTTCAGTGACATCCAATAGCACCTGAGGCTAACATTCAGTAACTGGGGGATGGGTTTGACAGGCTGGCAGACAGAGTGCTGTACATGAGACTAGCAGATGTTTAAATTCCCTGACTAGACAGTTTGCAGAGAAACTGCAGCTGGCTACCAATCCAGGTGTGGAGATTTAATGATGGAGCACTCACACAGACGGTGCTCATTGAGAACTTGCCCTTTCTTTGGCCTGAGCATCCAAGTCGTCTGATTCATAGATTTGTGAACACGGCTGACAATCAGATGTGGTTTTGACATTGAATTAAGTACTGTAACTGATGGTACCATAAGGCAGTATTTGACACGTTTTTAGAAAGGAAATTACCAAAAAATACAGACAAAATGGAGAAAAGGGTAATGGAGGAGCAAGTCACTGACTGAAAATTTGAACTAATAAAAAAGTAAAGGAAAAACCGTGATGGTGTTATATGGGTAAAACATGAAAAAAGCAGTAATATGAGAAGCAAATTAATGAATTGCATGTGTCATCATCGATTACCTTCAGTTTGGACTGTGACTCCTTGGTGAGAAAGAGAAAGGGACAGTAGAATGATCCACACAGAAGAAATGCCCATACTCTTCCTGTCCTCCTCTTCCTCCTTCAGTCACCTGTTCCTCCTCCCAGTTTTTTTGCTTCACAATTCCCCTTCTTGAACTCCACTCCAAAATCATAAATTCCAACTCATCGTTCCACTCAACTGAAAGTATAGAGAGTGGAAAATCATTAATGAAGGAACTCAATGAAGTGATTTAACATAATCATCAGTTTTTAATTTGTTCAGAATTCCTGATTCTAATGCAGAAGTCAAGCATAATGTTGTGCTAGCTCATGTGTACAGCTGAAGAGGGAAGTGCTCCCTGTAAACAGCTTTACATCAGATTCTGAAGACACCAAAGAAATAAAAGCATCAAAAGAGCTTTAAAACTGTAAGAGTAAAACATTTAAATCAAACTGTGTGCTGCTTGGTGAAGGTGCATTTGGGACTGAAGACATTGATGTCAGAATATGAATGCTCAGTCAGTTGAATCTCTGTTTCTAATATTTTAGTTCAACTTATTTTAAGAAAAGAGATGCATAGCCCTGTCTAGTAAATTCAGAGTGACAGGTTCAAGTAAGCTCTTGCATGATTTCACAGGTGCAAACAACGCTTGGACTGGTCAACCAAACCTGTGAATTACAGGCACCTGCCCCAGACTATGAATTACCCACCGACTCCCTGAAGGCCTGTGATGCCCTGGACTCAGCTGAGGTGATTATCCACAGAGCTAAGGCTGAGACAGCATGGCTAATTGCTTTCAATGTGTGACTGCATAATACCTTGAACATGGTCAAAAAAATGTTAGCACTATGTCAGACCTGCAGTAGCAGGTACCACATGTATCTAATTACAGTTTCCACCTGCCCTGCGTTATGTTTTGTGTATGTGTGTGTGCTTTGGAGT